GAGAGAGAGAGAGAGAGAGAGAGAGAGAGAGAGAGAGAGAGAGAGAGAGAGAGAGAGAGAGAGAGAGAGAGAGAGAGAGGGAGAGAGAGAGAGGGAGAGAGAGATTTGTGACTTCGGGATCTTGACGACATTTGGATACAGACTCAACCTTGGGACAGAGACATTGACGGGAGACTATGTGGGATCGATATTGACGACATTGGTGTTGACGACATTCTCATCTTCTCCCTCCTTTTCGTCCGATCCCCCTCCTCTTCATCTGTGTATGATCTGGACCTGGCGCATTCTTCCTGTGTGTAGCGCCATGCCCCTTCACACCTTGCAATGATGATGATGTATGTTTGGTCTGCATTGCGACAGTGATTGTTCTGATCATTGGTATTTTCGCCTTCCGCTGCGCTATCCTGTACTATGTGAGAGAGGTCGGTTCTTGTTCTGGTCTGCACCATTACGGTATGCGACACAGAATCAGCTGGCATACTATACCTTTCTGCATCTGCTGCTCATACACCCTCACCTCTTCGAGGTCCTTGGTTGAAGACACTGTCCCCTCCTCCTCCAGGATGAGGTTTTTGTTGGATCTCCCTGGTCCTTTTCTCCATTTTTGAACTTTCATTAAGTTTCATACCAAAACTGAGATCAGAACCCAGGATTTTCCACATCCTGTTACTATGGTCCGGGTCTTCTACCCAGCTCCTCGCCCCCAGTTCCCTGTCCTTGTGAATGGCCCTGATCCAATGATGTGGGATTGCCCCTTTAACTCTGTTGTAGTTCTGTTCCACTTGTCTCAACCTAGGCAATTTCTCCTTTACCTTGTATAGTGGCAACCCCTCAGCTGCCGCCTCATCCCACAGGTCCCGTAGCTGGATCTCTCTGTGTTGTATCCAGGCTCTGCCAAAGGAGCCTGGGCTGCCATCTGCTCTCAGTTGTTCTGTGTCCTGATCTTTAATGCAAATGTTTTCGAACAGGATCTGGTTCAGGATTTCCCCCCTGGACTTTGGTTCTTCCATCAGTTGGGGGCGGATCCTGTTCCAAGCCAACCGGATGTTGTGCTAGATTTGTGACTTTGGCCTCCTTTGGCAGTAGGCTGGGATCGTAAAGCAGATCCAGACATGGGGATCCTTGTCGAAGAGACCATTCGTTCATTAAGATATATTCTGCCAACCATATACAGCATTTGTTTGTGTCACCAAACATGGCAGCCACCAGCCACTTACCCAACAGGGCTATGTTCTGTTGCAGGGGTCTAGGATCCCCAGGCCCCCTTTGTCTCTTGCGCAACAGATTAATTCCCAGGCTGCTTTAACTATAAAGCTCTGCTGTTCTGTTGCCAGCGGCTTCCACAAATATAGAGTTGCTGCCCGTTTGATAACCTTGTAGGCCTCCTCCCCCAGTAAGTGAATCATCAATGGGAACCAAAAAATTGAGAAGGCTGCAGTACTTAGGACCAATGCCCTACCGAACAAGGATAGTTGGTCGTTTCCCACCCATCCATTAATCCTAGCCACCACCTTATCCGTTAGAATTGCATCTTGAGTAGGTGAACAGTCCGCCAACACGACCTGAACCCCTAAGAAGGGGTCTGACGTGTTGGTCGGGATACGTCGGAGACCCCCGTCCACCTCAAGGACATCGGACTGGGGCAGAAAAGTATACTGATTTGTCCCAGTTGATGGAAGCCTCCCAAAGTTCGCAATATTGGTCAAGAACCTTTTTCAATTCGTCCAAGGAACCTTTCTTGTTAACACATGCAACAGTTAAGTCGTCAGCAATCGCCCCTCCCTTCCAGTGTATGTACGGAGGGAGATGAAGACCTACTATACTACCATTACTCCCAATGTTGTGTAACAATACTTCTAATTGTGTGACAAGTAAGAAGGGTGCCAGGGGGCATCCTTGTCTGAGCGATTTCGAGAGCGGAAACTTATCTGACAGCTGCCCATTCACCAGGACCACAGAGGAGGCATCAGTGTACATTGCTTTCACCCATGTGCAAAAGCCCACTCCAAATCCCATCTTTTCGAGCGAGGTAAACACAAAGGCCTATCCTATCCTACCTTATGGCAAGCTTTTTCGGTATCTAGCAGTAGGACCGCCACATGGCCCACGTCCTTGTCTTCTCTTCCAGTTACTTCTAGGCCCTGCATCGTTGACATAATATGATAAAAAATAGATCTCTCTTTTACAAACTGCCAGCGTCCGTGTGGTGTTGTGTGTGGTGTGCATTGAGTGTGGACACTACGGCCTTGCAGGGGTGGGGCGGATATCACGGCTGGTATGGTTCCGCTTTTCGACACCGTGTCCTGGCTGTAGTGGTTTCGATAAGTGGCTCCTCTTGGGGCCGAGGTCGCCGATTCGAGTCCGTGCTTGCACGGAGGAGGGCTGAGGCCCAGAGGTACTGATCCAATGACATTGTCTGGGTTTCTGTGTGAACAGATACGACAGCTTGGGAGCTTGTGCTGGGGAGGTGAAAAACCCTTCAGTCAATTTTCCGAAGGCTCTTATTTTCTCCCTCTGTTTAATGATCTTGCTGGACGTCTCTGTGCTACTGGTGGGAGTCAGCGTCTTTGCGGACTATTCCAGGTACTCAATTGGTTGTTCCACCCGAAAGCAAAAAAACAGAGGTGCTACATTAAACATTCTATTAATATTACTGTAAATTTGCGAAACAATTCAAACAAAATAAAACAAAAAAAAAAACTTGAGACTCCTTTTTGAGAGCCCATTGGGCCTTTCAGGTCAGATGAATCCACCTTCTACCTGAGCGTCTGTCATGCCAAATGTCATTCACACCTCACCCACTTGCTAACAGTTTAACCATGGTGCCGTACTATTGTCAGGTGAGTTGTTTACCGCTCATTGCAAACTACCACCATTGTCATAGTAATTGCCACAATCACCATCATTGTTATCATCATCATCGTCATTAACATCATCATCAGCAGCAGCAGCAATGTCAATGTCCTCCAGGCGCTCCATCATCATCGCAAACAGCACGAAGTGAACAGCGCAAGAGAGGTGATACCAAACTTCATGACGGCTGGAAGGGGGGAAACCATCGATGCAACTCTCATGGAGGTTCTCTCTCTCTCTCTCTCTCTCTCTCTCTCTCTCTCTCTCTCTCTCTCTCTCTCTCTCTCTCTCTCTCTCTCTCTCTCTCTCTCTCTCTNCTCTCTCTCTCTCTCTCTCTCTCTCTCTCTCTCTCTCTCTCTCTCTCTCTCTCTCTCTCTCTCTCTCTCTCTCTCTCTTCGAACCGCCAGTGGCGCACTTCTTTTCATTGTGGTCCTGTAGCCCTGACCTTCCGAATTTTTTTGTAGGCGATGAAAGATTTCTCGACAAGGCTGGGGCTGTGGACTGGCAGTTTAACTGCCCGGATCCCCGCCTGCATCTCTGCTTGCCTTGTTGCCTTGCTCCTGGCCTTCCGTTTCTCCTCACTGTCCTCCTGCCTGTCTTCCCCCCGTCCCACCTCATTGTCTTGCTGCCTGCCTTGCTGTTCGCTTGCTTGTGGTTATCTCACTGCATGCCTGCTTCCATCATTGCATCGCCTACTGGAGGGCCGTGGAGGGTGATCCTATCACCTCTAGCAGTGGAGTCCCCCCTGCAGGTGTTGAGCAAAAAAAGACCGACTTGAAGGGAATCAAAGCCTCTGTCGCAGGGCAGGACATCCTGCCATATTTTTCAGGTCCAGGTCCGAATGGTATGGCTGAACCGTCCCAAGAGGACAGGTAACTGTCTCCAAACAACAACTTCCCTCTTGATCCTGCTAACAGCACATGGGGCGTGCACCCCCACGTGGCCGAATCATCCGAAGAGGCCTGGGTTTGTCAACTCTTCCCCCAGACCTTTTCGGACGGTTCGGCCAGACCACCCTGATGGGCCCGATCCTGAACCGTCCACACGGAAAATTCAGCTGCATGTGGGGCGGGGCACGCACCCCCACTACCTAGATCAAGCACCAGTAGGGGGGTCGGCGGACTGTTGTGGGTTCAGTATCCGGATGATTTTGATACCATTGAAACTACATACCTGTCCGTCACTAAATCCCTGTTTCACATGTTTGCCATGCCATCAACTCCGAGTGGTGTGCGTTGTTCTCCTTTTTTTTTACACACAAAGGATTCTGCGGCAATTTCTGCCCCTTCTGTTCTGGGGGGCTCCGGTCCATTTGCACCTCCCCCGCAAGCATGAAGAACGAAGTACAAAAAGCAACAGATAAGGTAGGCAAGAAGGAGCGTGAGGATATATCTGCCTGGGCACGAGCCACCCCGCATGGCTGACGAAAATTCCTCGTTCTCTGCAACGCTGAGCCGTGGTTGATGATTGCTTCTGCCCAAACTCCGCAGAGAACAAGGCATCGTGAGAAACATGCACAAGACTCACAATTATTATTTACTTAATTAACTCTGCAGAGAACAAGGCATCGTGGGAAACATGCACAAGACTCACAATTATTATTTACTTAATTAAAGTTAATTTGTCTTAAGAAGTTCCAAATACTGGAGGCAACTCACTAGCAGCCGTGAAGCAGACAAAGAAAGACCCTTCTTCACACGAATGGGCACAAGTAGTTCACGTGCATGGGGGGAGGTGCAGATTAGTGGAACAGACCACAGGTCCACAGTTGCTGACGCATGAATCTTGATGATTAACCTTCTGGGGGAGTGGTTGCTGATCAGATTCACATGTTTGGCAGATGGCAAGATGGAGCGTTCGTAACAGTGGGTCAGATCTTAGGAGGCAACTACCTTGCCCTCATGCTTGCCCTTGGTGCAGCAATCAGTGTTGTAAGTGGAACGTTTCCACTCCCTTATCCACTGCAATCAGCCACCATTGCTCTCTCTCTCTCTCTCTCTCTCTCTCTCTCTCTCTCTCTCTCTCTCTCTCTCTCTCTCTCTCTCTCTCTCTCTCTCTCTCTCTCTCTC